CACCTGCTCTCCCCCACACCACCAGAGTGTCTCCCACACGAGGATTTCTCTTGCTCCCTTGAGCCTAGCATACTGAGGTATGTTCTGTGCTCACCGCGGGCACACACATTGGTGGTGACCAGAACCTTCTCTTTGCCCTCTCGGAAGCGCTCAATCACGGCAGCCCTCTGCTCCACCACCATCTCACCGCTCAGCAGAGCCACCTGGTGGCCTTCTTTTGAGAGCTCTGCTGCCAGCCAGCTAGCTGTTTTACGGGTCTGAAAGGAAGACAACAGTTGAAAAATGAAGTAACTTAAGAGAATATTTTTGATCTGGAAGACTACTTTAGCAGCTAAGCGTTACAATTCCTACAATTCTTAACATGATATAGTGTGAAAGTAACAATGTCACTTGTGTGGTAATCGTAAAAAAATATTAATTTTAATATAATTACAAGGGGAAAAAAAATCAGAGAAATTCTAAAAACTAGTTAGTAGCCTGGCCTCTTCAAGATGTCCATGTCATGAAAGGTGGAGAAACTGTTCGAGATTAAGGGAGTCTTAACAGACATGACACTAAATGCAACAAACAATCTCTAATTGGCTCTAAGGTTTAACAGCAGGAGCCAAAAGCAATGAAGAACATTTTGGTACATACGGGGAAAGTGGCACGTGAATGGGCTGCAGAGGGGACACTAACGCTGCCATCATCGTGAAAAGTGCGACAATATATTGTGCTCATGCAGGAGTAGTCTCATTCTTAGGAAGCATCTGAAGTGTCCTGATGTCCACCACTCACCTTAAAATGCTTCAGCAAAAAAGAAAAAGTCCAGATATCCCACACACACAAGCTTATGGGTAAAGCAAATATGGCTAAGTGTTGACAATAGGTGACAGGTCTAACTGTGCTTATTTTATTTTTTTTCATCTTTTCTGTAGGTTTAAAAGTTTCAATCTGATGACTGAAAAATTGTGCTGAACACTGGAATTTGACACAACATTGTAAAATGATTATAAATCAACAAAAAATGTTAAAAAAAAAGGAAATAATACACAAAATGTTATGATAAATCAGAGAAAAAAATGTGACAGTGAGTGTGTATATGTCCATGAATGACTAAAAGTTTCAATCTGAGTTTGGGGGAGGGATGCCAGTCCTCAAAAAAATTTTTTTTTAATTTACAAGTCTTCCATTAACAGAGTAAGAGCTGTCTTATTTTTATATCCCTTAACAGCATTTTGATGTTTTCTTCAGAGATCTTATTCCTGAAAAAATTTTTTGGATCCTCAGTTTAATGGGATCCATCCATCCTTCCATTTTCTAAGTGTTTGTGTTTGAGACTGAAAAACTACTTATTTTCTATTAATTTTGTAACCATTTTGTTTAGTTTCTTATTTTTCCTGTAAGTATCAGTTAATTTTTTTGGGTTTTCTAATGTATCATCTTCAAATATTAAAGTTCAGGGAGCTCTACGCTCTGACTATGGATACCTCGGGATACTAAGAAGAAATTGTTTCTTGCATCTTCACAAACCACCTCCTTTCTAGCCACGGAGAGGGAACCTGGCCCCAGCACTAAGGTGGAGCTGGCTGAGAGGGAGGGGTGGGGCCACACCCTCCAGGGAGCTCCTCCCCCACAGGCCGCCGCCTCCGCCTCCTCCTCCTCCTCCTCCCCCTGCTCCTGCTGCTGCTGCTACTCACATGACAGAAGATCATCGCTTGAGCGATGGTGATGGCCCCATACAGGTTGCACAGGGCCTGGAACTTCTCGTCTCTGTTATTGCACAGGACGTAATACTGCTTGATGGTGTCCAGCGTCTCCTCCTCGCGCTTCAGTTTGATGATATTTGGGTCTGGAACCACTTTCTGGGCAAATTTCCATACAGAGTCTTCAAAGGTGGCAGAGAAAAGC